GGGGGGGGGGGGGGGGGGGTTGAAGGAAGCCCTGTGGATGTTCTCTGCCAATAAAGAGAGAAAGGGAGAGATCAATTAAGGAAAAAAAAGACAAGTCAGCAAGCAAAAGGATAATAGTAATATGATTTCAGTTATGGCGCATTCTGGTGATGGAGTGGAGAGGGGGAAAGAAGTGAGGGTAGTGTCACTGTCAAGGAATGAATGATGAACTTGGAAGTAAACAGGATAGAGGAAGCAGAGGATCAAGTGAGATGGAAATGAAAGGTGAATGAGAAAAAGAGAGAGAGATCCAGGGCAGACAGGAAATCTGGAACTTGCGTGACGAGATTAAAATGTGTGTCTGGTGTCATAAATAAGGGTGATATCCACGCTCGATTACTCTGTGTTGTCGTGTCTGACAGCGGCAGCTTTCCACCACACAGCCCAGCAAGCCTCTGCTTTGGCAACATGTGCCTCACTGTGATGACGCACACCTCGCTTACCAAGACAGACGGACCCAAACACAAACACATCTCTCTGTATGGAGCCGTTTCACGCAAAATAGAGCCAGGCTACTAAACTCTCTTCCTGTGATGTTATGTGGTGCCGTAAACAGCAGTACTGAGGTTCATTTCATGGCCAAGGAGACTTTTCAATAACTTGCTTGTCTGACCTGCCAGGTTCACTTAGCTGAACTGCTTTTATTCTCATTGCACTTTCATTGCATTTTAATCCAACATTTTTCCAAAAGGAAGTTTTATAGATGTCAGCTATTAATCCTGGTGGTGGGAAAGTGAGTCAAAGTATTAGGCCCTCCATTGAGATCTTTCTATATGAAGCAAAGGCCCAACACATTTTGCTCAGGGTATTTCAGTGTGGTCATTAAAAGTGCCAAACAAAATGTATCTTGTGAGTATCAAACACTCACTTTCTATTTGCTTGAAATGTGAGAAGTTTGCAGTTTGCTCCATCATTGAAAACAGAGCAGCTTTTAAACTTGAATTTGTGTTGGTTGCAATGGACTACAATTGTGACAGTGGAAAAATTAAGCAAAACATCCACTCTTATCATAGATTAATCTGTAGACTATTTTTCTGATTAATCAATTTACGATTTAGTCTTTAAAATGGTATAGAAACAATAATAAAATGCCCTTCATGCACAATCCTGTTATTGTGATCTACAAAACATTGAACACCCCCCCTTTAACTCAACAGGGAGTGAGTGTTTGGTACACAAAAGATAGAAAAGATAGGTGGAGTATCGGTATCAGTGTTGTTGTCAAAAGCAATGCCAAACTGCCATAGAGTGCAGTCCCACAGGCAGGGTACAGTATTGGTGAGCTGAGGGTGTACAGCTGGGCATTTGTTCCTGTAGCGAAAGAGAGTCCACTGTATAAAGTGGCATCTACTAGGTGAAGTGGCGACCTGCAGTCCGCCTGCCTTCAGACTAACGACAATCTGGCTTGTGCCTCCAGGGAACAGTGTGTTGGGTTGGGGAGGGAGTGTCTGGGCTGTTTGCTAGGGCTCATTTAGTTCAAAATCCTCTTTTCCATGGTCCCTCTGTTTGTGAGGGAGTATATGACCGTACAGGGCACACTCAGGTGATCAAACTCACTTACTACGTTGTTTAGTGTGTGAAGAGGTCATTCAGTTCCAATAAATCCTGTATCAAAAGCTTTAACTCTCATTAAATGCTGGATCATTTGAAACTGCAGCAACAAGCATCAATTGAGCTTCTGTTCCATGTGACATGCCTTTCACTGTATCTGTCTATGAAATCAGAAAGTTGCATAATGAGTCTTCCTCTGTTCTACTAACTGTGGCATGTGCTTTGACCTTACCAGTATTGAGTGCTGAAACTTGCTGTTGGCTGTTGACCCATCAGCCAACTGGGATCAGCACTAATGAAGTTAGCGAGGCCCCAGCATGCCTTTCACCGGCATGAACTGTCAGCATTTTCCATGTGATTGATAAGACCTTTTCTGAACATTATTAATAATACAGTGTTGGCCAGTTTAATTATTCATGTATTTACGGCTGTCTTTTTTGTTTGTGTGTGTTTGTTGATAGATCCGGCGCAGGAGGCCCACACCTGCCACGCTGTTTAGAGTAGCCGACCAATCATCCCCTGAGGATGATCAGTCCACCCATCAGGTAAAGGTGAAGTCAAAACACTTTTCTATAATAAGTGTCTCATTTGTCCTCCACCTTTTTCCACCCTATCCCATGAACTGAAAAATCTTCCAAAAGTACCATTTTGGAGTTGGCCATTTCATTGTTAAACAACATAATGCTGTGTTTTTCTATTATCTACTGTCTGCCTGTTAAATGTCAGCTCCCAACTGGTATTTACTTTTTTATTTTATAAGTTTTTTCAACCCTGCTGGATCCTCCGATGTGTCCATCATCACAAACTCATGTGTGTTCAAAACCAAGAACTTTTTAAAGGTCCAGTGTGTAACATTTAGGAGGATCTATTGGCAGAAATGGAGTATAATATTCATGGGTATGTTTTCAATTCAGTGTATAATCACCTGAATATGTAGCGCTTTTCACAGACATAAGTCGCAAAGTGCTTAATAGAGGCAATGTACAACAAAGACACTTTAGAATGAGTTGTTTTTATTAATCTTTTTTATCACACACATTTTCACATTTTTTTCACAGGTTTTGCGACCACTGTAGTTTCCCCCCATCCCCACCCAACCCCTCCACTCAGAAATGTTATTGTTTATTGTTTTTCTTATTGTTACTTCACTTCAATGTTTGAGCTTCACTGCTATTTGTGCAGAGGTTGGAGTCAGTCATGGTTCTGTATGCAACTTACACATAGTTCATACACACTGAGAACTGACTTTTCAGTGAAGTAGGAGACATCTCATGTCCAGAAGTTAAAATATTTAAATAAACATTTGCATATTCTTGCATTCTGGATTTTAGTAACATTTTATTCCCAGCAGAATATTTTATTGTCTTTAAACATGGGATTTTTGAAGAGAAATAGATGAGGTAAATCAGGGGTAATATTTCTCTCTTTTTGTTCGCAGTGGGTTGTGGGAGAAAACGGAGTGCTCAAGCCAAAACGTGTCAATCCAAACGTGTATCAGCCTCCATCTCTCAGAGGTAGGTGTGAGCAGTATTGATATAACAGGTGGTGGTTGTGTGTTGTGATTCATCCTTGTGTTTAAATCCTTTTTGTTCTACCGTGCTTCGCTGCAGTCAATTGCCTCCTTGCTTTTCATGCTTCATAATGGCTGAAAAAGGAAAAAAAATGCATGTGACAGATGGGTAGATATGCATTAAAGGCCTTTATTTTCTTTTTTTGTGCATGCGCATGTGGAACATGCATAGACGTGTTTCTGCTCTCATTGGACACTAGGCCTGTATATTTGTGTGTGACAGATAGAGAGAAAGGGAGAAAGAGGAGAGATTAAAGTGTGACAGCTGTGAGACAGTGAATGTGAGTCTAGGAAAGTCTGGATCATCCAGGATTACAGTCAGTTGTGTATACAGCTGTGGCACACACACAGACACGAACACATTTATAGGCAGGATAGAAATACATAAACACAAACAAGTACTTTCTTCTGTATCTCTGTGCATGTGGCTTCTTGCGTGTCGCATGTGGTCATTAAAGGGACAAACATCTACATTTCAGAGCTCGTCAGCAGAGCTTCATTTAATGGGGATTTCTGGGTGTGTGTTGCATGTCAAGTGATGACATAATAAGCCAGGACGCCTCGCTCCTGCATCTGAAATCTGCCCTTCATCAGCTCAGACACACAGAGTAGAAGAGACAGCTATCTTGGAATAATTTTGAATTACATAACCCTCCTCAAGCGAGAATAAGTGACCTGCCTCAGTGCCGCATTGTTGACTGACAGTGTGAAACAGAGAGAGGCCAAGGTGACCCACAGGAAGTGAGAGGGGGAGTCGAGGTGATATCGCAAAAGAGAGGAGAATTTATAGGGTGGGAGAGAGGAGAGTGTGAGTCAGCGCTGCTAAGCAAGAGCGCTGAGGAGGGCAAGCAGTCGAGGAAAGACGAGCGTACAAATAAACAGATGGGAGAACAGGGTGAGAGAAAGGATGAAAAACAACAGTGGAGGCTCTACTGGAAAAATCAGTGTGGGCTACTGTTTTGCAGTTGCCTGCCTGTCTGTCTGTCTGTCAGTGCATGTGTTTAATTGGCTTCCTGCCTAACTGGCTTGTATTTGTTATTTTTTATTTTTTAAACCCTGCGAGGCTTGATAAAGTGTTGAAGCTGGTAAAACCAAAACAACATGTCCCTCTATCCCTGTGTCTGTTTCCATGTGTCTGTGTGACCGTCTCCCTGTGTGTGTGTGTGTGTGTGTGTGTGTGTGTGTGTGTATGTGTGCTGTGTTTACCTGTGTGTAGCTGTGCAGAAGATGGCTGAAGCACACATGCAGAACCTAGGTGTTTACCCCCCTTTGGAAGATCCTTGTGAAGGGGAGGAGGAGGAGGACTACTGGCAGGGACAGGAGGGAGAGGACACATCTCCCACCAAAGCAGCTGGTGAGAGGGAGGCTCTCTGTCAACTGGCTGGGACCACAACAGCAGCAGCATTGCACACAGTGGCAGCAAGGACAACACTGCTGTTGCTGTTGAAGAAAAATACACCCAGTGGCACTTAAACACTGCTAAAAACAGAACCAATGTCAATTTCCAGCACTTTCTACAATCAAGTTTAATAACTGTAATTAGAGTTTGATGTTGCAACAAGGCTTTCACATATTTAAGTATTTTAGTTGAATATGAATATTCTGCACATACATGCATATCTTGAAAATCAGGGAAAATCGGTATACTAAAAATGACAAAATGATATATGCAGTGTTAAAGTATCTAAAGGTGTATTTTTCCTTCAGGTTTGAGTGAATGGTCCAGTTTGCACCTTTCCTTTATATTTATCCTGATGGTGTCTGCACACATTTCACACAGTTTGAGATTTCAGAACAAATGTGTCTCCCATTACAAGAAGCCATCGTTGATAATCCTCCTTAAACAGTGAGAAAAATGTACTGTTTACAGTCTTGAATAGTTGCCCAAGATAGATAATTTGTCACAACAAATCCAAAGTTTTATTATTTCACAATAAGTGAGTTTTGTGAGTGAGTTAAATGAGTTTTGTTTTTCATTCAGCTACATTATATTACACTCTGCTTGAGAAAATGTGTTTTATTATTTAACCTGCTCTCAAATGTGATATAAAACTTTAAACAAAAAAAAACAATAAACTATTTGTTCCCAGTAGAACAGCGCTCCTCTGTGGGCCGACCAGCTGTACAGGTGAAGCTCTGTGCACTGAGAGACAGCACCAGTGTCATATTAGCTCTCTGTCTCTCGCCCCAAATCTGTCAGAGGGTAAATTGCAGACGACTAAAGGCCTGGATCCAACACTTATACCAGTCAGAGAGGCCAGACAGGATTAATAAGCAGGCTGTCTGTGCTGATCCTGATCTGTATTCTACTCTATTTCAACACTTCTTCTGTTAGTTTAAACTCTAATGCAGAGTATAAAAGCTTTTGACTTTGAGTTATGTGCTATTACAAAATCGGTGTAAATCTCAAGTTGAAGTGAACTTTTTTGGAAACGGGCTCCATTATTATTTTGTTTTATGCTGCAAAATTATTGGGTTTTAATCTGCATTATATCACATGAGAACAGTGGCATTTCATTCAGAATTATTGCTCTGTTGGCCCAGATGACAGACTCTCTCAATAAATCCCTTTGTGGAAGCCCGGTAATACACAAAGTACCCAAACAGGATGTTGTAGGATCCTGATTGGGTCCTTTGATTACAGTTCATCTGTTCTTTCACTCGAGCAACACAGTTTGGGCTCGGCCTGTGTTATCACAGACAGAAGATAAATCAAGGTGAACAAGTTATTTAATCAGTTAGCTTTACAAACCTTTCAAGAGTAAGGACAAACAGGTACCTTTCCAGTCTCATCCAGTGTGTTTCTGAATATCTGAAGTGGATTTGCAGCGTTAAAAGGAACAAATAAACATGAATTTCATGTAAAAATTGAATCTAATTAATCTTATTTTCTCAAATAATTGATTCATCATTTGGTCTATGACATGTCAGAAAATAGTGCCATTGTCTACCCGCCATCCAAAACTCTATATTCTGTTAACTAAAAAAAAAAAACTAAGAAAATGTAAATACACATTTAACAGGCTTGGAGCAGGGAAGTATTTGTGTTTTTGCTTAAAAAAAAACATGACTTGAACAATTAATAGTAACATAGTTTCCAGTTATTTTTTTGTTGAGTAACTAAACAAATAATTAACTAATTGTTTGAATTCTTCCTGCCCTCCAGGCATCTCCATCACCAGAATGAACTCACAAGCATCTCAATCCAAACCAAAGGCACAAAACTGTGATACACTGATATCACTGGTTACAGCTTTACTGCTTCTTTTCACATCCCAGTCTTTGTCTCCTCAGATCACCAAGAGACGGCGACCATTGAGCAACCCGAAAAGTTTTCCAGCATTAGAGAGACGGCCAAGCAGATCCAAGCAGCACAGGAGGAAGAAGAGGAGGAAGATGATGATGGGAACAAAATCAAGGAAACGACAGAGGAGAACAGTCGGGGGAGTAACTGAGAAAGAGAGGGAGAGAGAGATAGAGAGATAGAGAGAGAGCAGGGAAAACATTTGTAGGGAAGAATTTGGGACAGTGAAGGTGTTTTGTGAAATGGTTAAAATCTGAAGAGATGAGGCTGTTTGTTATCAGTGTGTAGAGACTGAATGCACAAGTGAGGTTGCAAGCTGTGGGTCAACTAAATGAAAGATACTTCCATGAAATCAAACATGTGAGTGAAAGATTTCTGAACTACTTCACCTCTAAAGGGTGAGATGGATTAAAGAGAGGACAGAGAGGTAGGTTTTGTATTAGGAGTCAGCCCTTATGAGCAGGTGAAGAATGATCTACTGACAGAGCAGACTATAGACGCCACTTTGGCCCTAATGTCCCTTTGTTTATAATGAGAGTGGAGGGGCCAAGGTCAGCATGACCAAATACCCTGTAAGACCAGTCCTCCCTCGACCTTAATGCTTCTGCACAGCTAAATGTTCTTTTAAAGAGGGTAATAGTTTTAACAGTAATCACAAAAACACACACATAAACTTTCTTGGGCACATTTTTAACAAAGACTCTTGTATGACCCTTTCAAAGGTACTTGAAGGTGTTTAAATGTGTGTGGTGTTTGTTCCACTTTATTTTGAAACCATGGCCTACATCATTGTTCTGATTTGCAGCAAATTCAATGTTTAGCCCTGTGAGTAAATATGCATGTACTGCCATCTCATGGTGGAAAGTAGGATTAACAGGTTTAAAGTGATACACCAAACCAACATATTATGTTTTTATCAAGAGCTGAAAAGAAGTTAAAATCCTTAATATTTCCATAGAATAAAATCCAGTTTTAATGCTATTTATGGTTGAAATAAGCTATTCAATGTTTTCACACGGTGTAGCTGTGTCTCTGTACAATAATACTTATTGTTAAAGCTTGAAAGGTGGTTGTGATTGAAAGGCAGTTTCATCCGTCAAGAAGAACATCAAAAGTTTCATGTTAGTTACAATTTATAATAATATAATAATAATCTGCTTCTATTCTGCCCACCATATGTTAAGTAACATTTTCCAAAATGTCAGCGAGCCTATGGTAAAAATATGGGTTGGAGTATCACTTTAACTATGACTTAAAAAAAAGCACCAAAATGTCTGTAATTGTGTTAAATCCATGAGCAAGTGAGTGAGTGTGTGTGTGTGTGTGTGTGTGTGTGTGTGTGTGAGTGTGGTTATTTCATACCACACTTTTCACGTTACTTCAAATTAATCTTTAAAGGGCAAAGCTACCTCTGATTTGTTTGAGATACAGAACCCAACCGTTGCCTCCACGCATCGCACATTTGAACTCGACTCATTGTGAACTGACATCATTAAGGAATCAAAAACATGTAAATTTAAAATCTTTTCCAATACTGTTGACTCATTTGGGATTTCACAGTGCTCACAGATTCCCTTTTGTATGTTAACACTTTTCTATTGTCATCTTTTGAATTGTTCACTCATGATTTGTATGTCATGGATCTGTTGTAAGAGCTATTTTTCTAATCTAACGTCCAGTGTATGAGTAGCTCCGCTCTGTCCTGTTTCTACTTTCTATATCTAACTTGCAAGTCTGCATAAAGCATTCAGCAGAGAAAGCCTAAAGCCAGGCACTGCAGTTACTGTATGACTGACATTTGAGCAAAATGGTCACTGCACAAACTTTCTGTAGTCTTTTTACCACATATATTCACTTGGCATCTCTTTTCTTGGCGTCAACAACAACTTTTCAATGTTTTTAGTCAGAATCTATATAATTGAATTGCCAGTTTATCTGAAGATTCAGCATCTGATGTATTAGGTTTCCATTTGTGCCACAGGATGAATAAATCTTGCTGTTTGTATCATCTGGGTTTGTATATAAAAATGGTGTGAAACGTTTTTAACCTTTGACCTGCCCAAATTGTGGGATGACTGGATGAGCAGGTTGTGTGCGTTGAGGCTCTGCGGCCAACGCTGTCCTCCCTCCTCGGCTCTCTGTCCACCTCCCCTCTCCTCCCAGGTCAGAAGAAAACAACCATGGAAAGAACATGTATGAACCATGTATGAACTCTTATGCTTATTCTGTCTTTATTTTTATTTAATTTTTTTCCATTACCTTGTTTCTCAATGTGATGTGGTTGTTTTAAAGTGAGCAACAATATATCAAAATAAACAGTTTCCCTTTTC